TTATCCATTTATATTCTAAAATGATTCTCCACCCCCTTAGCCCTTTCCATTACCTTTCCTCAACTACCACTTCACCACCTTATCCACACTAGCCACCAACCTTCTACAGTTCTACACTACTCCCACCACCACAGCCTACTGGCTCCGATCCTCTCCCTTGCCTACCACACATCCACATTCAGCCACCCTCCCCTAGCCCTCGCCGCCCCTCCTCCCCCCCCCCTCCCCAAACACCCATCTCCTCCCTCGAAAATCTTCCCCCACCCATGAAAAAACGCTAGAAAACAGTTGGCCATCCCTCCCCCCACCCTCTAAACCCTAAACCCATAGTAGGGGTGGGGATAAAGAGTTCCACAAACTTGTGTTACCCCCTTAGCATGCTTCCTTGGATCCTTATTTTCTCACTCAAAATTTTGTGCAGATTGCTGAGAAGACAGCCGAGAAAGTTTATGTTAAGAACGCTGGCAAGATTGAGAATTGTAAAGCCGTGGAGCTTCATTTGGAAGACTCTGGAAATGAAGGCTTCCCTATGCTAATTAGAAAAGGTATAAATTCTCGTCCTGCTCTGCAGACTGCTGGTGTAGATTTTGTTACATATTGGAATATGCAAGATGAGCTTGATGTGAGGTTCATTAGTTCCAACGACATACAAGCAATGCTCGATACTTATGGGGTAGAAGAAGCGAGAGCAACCCTTATAACTGAGATTTATACAGTTTTTGGCCACTACGGAGTAACAGTAGACATGCGACACTTAACCTTAATTGCTGATTACATGACGCATACGGGAAAGTATAGGCCACTGAACAGATATGGTGGCTTGGCTGAATCAATATCTCCGTTTAGCAAGATCGCCTTTGAGACTGCTGCTAAGTTCATCACTCAAGCAGCTGTTCAGGGAGAAGTTGACAACTTACAAACTCCTACTGCAAGAATTTGTCTTGGTTTGCCTGCTAAAGTTGGTACGGGATGTTTTGACTTGAACCAATATTTAAATGTGTATTAATATAAATGTAAATGGATACGTAATCGATCCACCTAAAAGATACAAAGTAGACCATAAACGTGGAATGTTAAATTTTATTTTAATTTTTTTTTTTAAAAAACACGAATAATAGTGAAGGATCACAATGGTAATGGAATAAACACAAGTAATACTCTAGAAGGGGGGGTTGAATAGAGTATGGACGTTTTTCGTGAAAACTGCAGAATTTCAAGGCCTTGAGATCAGTTTCAAAGGCGGAATTACTGATTCAAGTTTTATGTCTCAAGGTCTTGAAATACGTTTCAAAAGACTATAAAACGACCTTGACTATGAGGCAGTGAGTATTAGATACGAGAACAAATTTTCAGAATGTAAAGCAATAACAAATGACAGAAAATTAAATAGAGACAAGAGACAAGAAATTGTTATGAAGTTTGGCAAATGTGCCTACGTCTCCGCCTATGGGTTGTCCAACCCGTAGGATTTAATCCTTCTTTTATTTCTTCCTTTAGAGCACCAAAGTCCTTAGAAGATCTCACTATCTTCCTTTACGTAGCACTTCTTCACTACACTTTAGTCACTCAATTCCTAGAAATAAAAGACTAACACTCAATCACAACTTCGAGTATTATAGACTTTACTCCGAAGTGTTACACTCAAGATTTTTTCAATAATTTGCACAAGTGAACACTCGAATATTTTTCTTTCAAGGATGATAAGTATGTAATCTATGAGAAAATTATAGCTCTTTAAAATTATCTTCTTTCTCTTGATTTTCCAATTGAAAGCTCATATCTCATTCTGCATATGTCTTCAACCCTTTTATAGAAAAGTAGAACAAAATAGCCGTTCTTGTTTCTTGAATAACGTTCAACTCTTTTGAGCTATTCTTCAGGAAAACTTCAAACGGTGTTTTTCAATTTTCAAAACTTCAGCAAATATTATTGTTCCTCAAAATATGCAATCTGTCCAACAAACTCAAAATAATCTAAAATACACGGTTAGAAGTAAAAGAAGATAAGATCAAAAATAAATTATCCTAATAACAATAGATAAATACAATTAATTTATTCTAACCAACTTTGAGTAAAAGATAAATACAAAAATTATCATTCAAAATTACCTGTTTATTCGGTAAACACAATTTCATCAAAGTAGTTGATAGAAATTAAGTAACCAATTTTAAGATAGAATTATATGAAATATGTTATGAAAAAGTCTTTGACTAAAATTCATCACATACACGTTATTCAGCAAAAAAGAATGCACAATACTTGCCACAAAACTCATTCAACACTTGGCACAAAAACTTCAACACATGTCCAATTTGCATGAGAAAACTTTGGAGAGCACATGCATTATACTATAGAAATAAAGTCAGTGGATTTGAGCATATCAATGCATAGCCCATATATAGCTTAGCCCAATATTTAATCAAATAAGAATAACAAGGTTAGCCCAATAAAATAATGAAATGTAGTATTAGACTTAATTAAGTAAACAAAATAAATTGGGCCTCATACTTAAACTTCCTGTTTGACTTCCATCATACATATTTATCAAACTCATCAAGGTGGAGTTATCAATCTCCCCCTTGATGGAAGTCAAAACCATTAGCTTGCAAACAACATTAGATATGTATATATAACCATAAGATTAATATTATAAGCATCATCAAAAGTAATACCGTCCATCAAAAGTATGAATATAGTTCATCCAGCTAGCACATGTTTGTTCTCCCCTTTTGACTTCAAGTCAAGGGTAAAGAACATAAGAGCAAGTGCAATGGAGGGGATTCACTCTCCTCTTAGCCTTCTCTCTCCTCTTAAGAGGAATCCCCTTCATTGTAGAGGTGGTATGGGGAGTCCTCTTAGGAAGAGGAATGTGGTTAATCCTCTTTGGGAAGAGGAAGAAAGGATGAGGAAGGGGATTGGAAAAGGTGGGGAAAAAAACAAAAAGAAAAAAAAAAGATTAAAAAAAAAGTTGGACCAGCAGCAACGACGTGGCACACTCCTGCTGGCCGTTTGGGCTGGCAGGGGCCCACTTGTTTGTTGGTTTTGCTGACATTTGTTGCTTTCTCATTGGTTGATATTTACAACATCCATAATTTTTCAAACGGTAATAAAAAAAAAACGGTAACTTATTTTAAAAAAAAAAAACACCAACGGTTATATTTTTTTTTTCTCTATAAAATGAACCTAAATTTGCCATATTTTCAAAATCTTCATTTTCTCCATATTTTCTCTCTTTTTCCTATTAATATCACTCATATTCAATTTAAGTCATTACATTTTATCTTTCAATATGGATCGAAATAATCCAAATTTAAGAAGAAATTTGAATTTTCAAAATATTCCAAACTCTCAAAATAATTCAAATAATCCTCCTTTTGATCCAAATATCCTCAATAATCCTCAATTTCAAGCTGCCTTACAATGGTTTGGTAATCAACCAAGACCAATGAATCCAAATGATACAACCCAATTTCACCAACATTTTTCTCAACATAGTCCATTATTTCCCATGTCTCAACATTTTACCCAACCTATGGACCATTCTCCGGGAGGAGATGGTAGCACGAACGCAACTCCAACTGAAGAGGTACGAGAAGCACAACATCTAGAGGATCTTGATGATGTTGTCGTTGGAGAGACTATGCCGAGGAATTCATGGAGTGTAGCAGAGGATAACGCACTTGTTTCGGCTTACATCAACGCCGGGGGAAATGTTACAAAAAATACAAAAAGGACTAAGGCTGGATTTTGGGCTGCAGCTTGTAAATTGTACGAACAAGCACGGCTTGCAAATCCTGATGAGCTCCAGAAGACGAGGAATACTAAGTCCTTACAACAACGTTGGGATCACATTAATTCGAATGTGAACAAGTGGGTAGAGGTATACAGTTACGAGATACGACATCCGAAGAGTGGACAATTAGATGCAGATGTTGAAAAACGTGCACACAATGCTTTTGCAATGGCGAACAAAGGTAAACATTTCCATTTACAACATTGTTTTGAAGTTATGCAAACTTTTCTAAAATGGGATCCGAACGAGGTCATGCAATTACCTGCTGAAAGCGGAGGAAGTGCAAAACGATCTGAACCAGAATCACCAACTGTTGAAGGTGGAAAACCACGAACTCGACCAGATGGCATAAAAAAGACGAAGAGACTAGCAATGGAATCTGGTTCTTCGTCTTCATCTATAAACCTTAATTCGTTCAATACAACTCTTGCAGAATGTAGTGACAAGAGGTATGACCAAGGAGAACGAATGATGGCCTTAATATGAGAGCGAGATGAAGAAAGGAAAAGGCAAAAGGAAGAGGAGATGAAGTTCAAAATGTTAAATATGTTGATGATGAAACCTAACCTTGATGAATTTGAGGTAGAAATGTACAAGAAGCTTAGAGAGGAATTTAGTAATAGGTTCTTATGAAGTTGTTCTTCTTATATGTTATTTTAATGTTTTATTTATTTCATGTTTTTAATGTATTAGTTTTTTTTAATGTCTTATTTATTTCTGAATTTATTTTAATTTTTTTAATGTATTAGTTTTTATTTTTTTTAATGTTTTTAATATATGTTTAATCATATTGTAATAGTTACTATTATAATTACTATTATTATGGCTGTTATTATTATTATTATTATTATTATTATTAATAATTTGTAATTATTATTATTAGGAGTGGTAAAAAACAAAAAAAACAAAATTCAGTGTGTAGTCACTTCATGCATTGATACATCTACTTCATATGTCAACTTTTCTGTAAAGCCATACATATCTCTACAAAGATATAGATTATTGTCATGCAAAAATCTAATCTTCTGACATACATATCATAATTCAAATTTTGAAATGTGTTACCAAAATATTCTCTTGCATTATTACTTAGTTCATGTGGATCATATTGTCTATATATTGACCAGTTTCATTCACATATAATTCTATCATTGTCATACAAATACTAACATTCAGTTTTATAAAAATATTATCAAAAAATTGTAAAATGAATTTTGATTCTAGTTCTTCTACTTCTAGTGATGAAATATACGATTCCATGTTGTTAGATTTTATTGAGGAAAATCGACAACAACAAGTGATAGAGGATACAGTAAGACATGTTGTTAACACCGATGTAGAAGAACAAGAAGTTCATGGTTCACGACGTGAAAATATGTCAAGGTGGATCGTTCCAAGAGATCGTGAAGGAGCACATGATCGGTTAGTTACAGACTACTTTAGTGACCATCCATTATACGGCGATGAAAAGTTTCGACGTAGGTTTCGTATGCGAAAACCTCTATTCATGAAGATAGTGAATACGTTGAGTGCAACTGATAGATTTTTTCAACAACATCCAGATGCCACAATGCGACTGGGTGCTTCTGGAATTCAAAAATGCACCGCAGCAATGAGAATGTTAGCATATGGTTGCCCAGCTGATCAAATTGATGAGTATCTAAAACTTGGGGCAAGTACGGCAAGAGAATGTCTTATACACTTTGTTGATGGAGTGATTCGTGAATTCTCAACAGAATACCTGCGGAAGCCAAAACGCCGAAGATCTTGTTCGTCTCCTTAAACAAGGGGAAGAAAGGGGTTTTCCTGGCATGATGGGGAGCATCGATTGCATGCATTGGGAGTGGAAAAATTGTCCAGCTGGATGGAAAGGAATGTATCAAGGAAGATCTAAAACGGCGACGGTGATCTTAGAAGCTGTTGTTTCTTGGGATTTATGGATTTGGCATGCCTTTTTTGGCATGCCAGGGACATGAAACGATATAAACGTTCTTCAACGTTCTCCCGTCTTTGACGATATTTTAAATGGTCGAGCTCCACAAGTTAATTTTACTGTGAATGGAAATACCTATAACCAAGGATATTATCTCACAGATGGGATTTATCCAAAATGGGCAACATTTATTTCCGATATTACCTCCCCACAAACCCCTAAACAGAAGTTGTTTACAATCAAACAAGAGAGTATTAGAAAAAGATGTTGAGCGTGCATTTGGTGTGCTACAAGCTCGATTTGCAATAATTAGACATCCGGCTTTGGCATGGAGTGTCGAAATGCTATGGAAAATTGTGATGTCGTGTATTATCATGCACAATATGGTTGTAGAAGACGAGCGCGAAAATTACATGAATTATTGGGATCCAACGGAATTTTCCAGCGAACAACCTGAGAATCTAGCAGGATCATCAAGGAGAGGAGCAACAACTTTCACCGTTATCCACGGGCGTTATAAAGATAAAAATTTAGCTACAATAATGGCTACACGAGAAAATCTTCGTGATAAACAAATTAATACATCTTTGAAGAATGATTTGCTAGAACATATATGGCTAGGTTTGGGAACACTTTTGTCAACTCACCTTAAAAATAAAACGTATTTATGATTTAGTTTCTCGTTTTTCAATTATCGGCTTTTAATGTATTTTTGTGTTTCCGAATTTCATGAATTGTCTTTTTACATAATGTATTGCAACGTTCCTTTTTAACTATTTTATATGCATGTCAACCGTTCTACTTACTAATTATGCATTTTAAATTATCATTAATTGTACATTTTTGTATTATATTAAAATTGTCATTAATCTAGTTATAATAATTTGTCATATTAAATTTACAAATATCTAAAATAGAAGTTGGTGGGGCATAAATAGAAAGGAAGGGGATTCATGAATCCCCTTTGTTGTGGGAAAAAAATAAAGAAAGAGGAAGAGGAAGAAGATGGAGATAGTGGAAAATGATGTGGAAGAAAGAGAAATGATGTGTCAAAAGGAGAGAATGAGAGAGAAGAATTAAGGGGATTCATGAATCCCCTCCATTGCACATGCTCTAATGTTGGAATAATAAAAAAAGTTTTAAAAAGTATTAGGATTGCAGACCCAGATTAAAATCATAGTTTGTAAAAACAACAAATATCAATTCCTGTACCAAAAGGAGTTACGAGCAGAACCCTTGGCCTTCCGTGCATAGCGCCTTTTTCCATATGCCATTATAGAGTCTTTCTCCATTGCTGCCACTCGCTTCTCCTCTTGATCCCTGTATCGCTTCACTACCCCATATTCCTCTACTGTGAGAATGGTAGGTTCTGAAACTGTAGGCCAATTCCCTTGAGTTTGAACGGGGTAAAATGCAGCGAACCAAATAAGTGAAGATAATTTTGGGTTCAAGCTTGAGGGAGGAGTGAGTGAGTTGACGAGAGGAGGAAGACTCAGAAGCAATAAATTGCTTCCTTGCCTTCGAAATGCATTCAGAACGAGAAGGGTATGAATCTCGTGAGAAATCTGGGGAAGTACCGAGTATATTGGCAAGAGTGGTACTATCAAGAGAGATTGGTTTTCCTTTGACAATGGTTTCTAATAGAATATCACCCTTTGATTTGTGAACAGTCATGTTGATATAGAATAGTCGAGTGAGACGAGGAAATGCAAAATCAGAAATAGAAGCTAATTTGTAAAGCGATGAATTTTTGAACAATGTAAAGCAATTCAAAGTTTCGGACTCAATTAAAGTTGTATCAATTGGCTCACAAAAACAGAGCTTTCTAGAATGATACCCATCTTTCCACTTTCCATAAATTGTTTGAGAAATAAACCAAGAGAGTGGTAGTAAAGAAGATACCTCAACATGACTTGTTTGAGCCGGGACGGGAGTTGAATCATCAATAGGAGTAGATGAAGAGTTCGATTGAGATGGTTCTGACTCAGGAACTTGAGGGACTTTCTTAAGCTTTTCCCGAGCACACTTTTTTTATCGAGTGACCATCTTTCTTTTGGGAGCCATTTTGGGAAGCTTTGAAAGAATGAAAGGGTAATTGAGAAGAGGGATGAGAGGAGGATGAGTGATAATCAGAAAAGTGAAGTGAAGATGTGTGAAAAAAGAAGAAAGAGATGAGTGAAATTGGGAAAAGTAAAAAGAAATAAATAAGGATTGAAAAGTGGGAAATTGGGAAGAAGGAAAATCAGAGAAGTTGAAAAGTGGCGTGTGAAAGGAGTGAAAGAAGAGGGAATTAATGAGTGGAAGAAGAGATAGAAAGAGAAAGAGAGAAAGAGTGTAGAGGAGGAGAAAAAAAAATCAGTAGAGAGAGAGAAAGCAATGAGGTGATGGCTAGAAAGAGAAAGTAGTGATGTGGTTTAAATATATACCCAAAAAATATCTTTGAAATCCAAAAGTGACGGTTGAAGCAAAAATTGTTAAATTATTTAAGTAAATAAAAATATTTTGAATCATTGAAAAGATATCTTTTAAAAAAATGATAAAAAAAATTTAAAGATAACAAAGTGACGGTTTAAGCATAAAAGATACCTTTAAAAAAAATTAAATTCAAAAAAAATTTAAAAGATATTTAATAATTATCCACAAGAATAATTACCAAATATTAATATTCCAATATTATTAATTTTGAGCAGGTATATTTCAAGGCTTTGAAATATAGTTCCCTTAAAATAAAGAGCTCATTATACATACACACCAAATAAAGCAGTAAATAACATACCTTTGCTCCCCCTAGGAAGTTGCATCTTTATTAACATCCCCAATTCAAGCCGTATAAAGTTAAATCTATCTTCACTCAAAGGCTTAGTAAAAATATCAGCAACTTGAAAGTTTGTAGGGATAAAAGAAATAGAGATATCACCTTTTTCAACATGTTCTCGTAAAAAGTGATGTCGAACATCAATGTGCTTAGTGCGTGAATGCTGTACAGGATTTTTAGCAATTGAGATAGCACTAGTATTATCAAACTTTAAAGGAATACCTGAATAGTTTATGCCAAGGTCTTTGAGTTGTTGAGATATCCATAAAATTTGGGAACAACAAGCACCGGTTGCAATGTATTGTGCTTCGGCAGTAGACAAAGCCACAAAATTCTGCTTCTTAGAGTGCCAACTAATAAGTGAAGAACCTAAAAATTGACAGCAACCGGAAGTACTTTTTCTATCCACTTTATATCCTGCAAAGTCAGGATCAGAATATCCAACAAGCTCAAAGTTGCTATTTTTGGGATACCAAAGACTGAAATCTTTGGTTCCATTTAGGTACCTCAAAATTCTTTTAACAGCAGTTAAGTGTGACTCTTTTGGATTTGCTTGAAATCTAGCACACATACATACACTAAACATAATATTAGGGCGACTTGCAGTTAAGTAAAGTAGAGATCCGATCATACCTCTATACTCCTTTTGGTTTACTGACTTACCATTCTCGTCTTTGTCTAAAGACAAGGTTGAACTCATAGGTGTTTTGGCTTCTTTAGAAGCTCACGAGTATATGTGCCTTGATTAATAAACCTTTTCTATCTTGCTTAATTTGTAAGCCAAGGAAAAATGTAAGTTCACCCATAAGACTCATTTGAAATTCTTTGCACATAATATCTGAAAATTCCTTGCAAAGAGAATCGTTAGTAGCACCGAACAAAATATCATCAACATATATTTGAACAATCAATAAGTCATTTGACTTGATTTTAACAAAAAGTGTTTTGTCAACTTGACCTCTTTGAAAACCGTTTTCCAAAAGATATTTTGATAAACGCTCATACCAAGCCCTTGGGGCTTGTTTCAAACCGTATAAAGCTTTATCAAGTTTAAAAACATGATCAGGAAAAGAATCATTTTCGAAATCAGGAGGTTGTTCAACATAAACTTCCTCCTTTAAATAACCATTTAAAAACGCACATTTAACATCCATTTGAAACAATTTAATACGCATAAAAGAAGAAAAAACAAGCAAAATTCTAATAGATTCAATACGAGCAACAGGAGCAAAAGTTTCTTCGTAATCAATACCTTCCTCTTGGTTATAGCCTTGGGCTACTAACCTTGCTTTGTTGCGAAAAATCTTACCATTTTCATCCAACTTATTTCTGAAAACTCATCTTGTTCCAATTACTGACTTGTCCTTTGGCCTTGGAGTAAGATTCCAGATTTGTTTCTTTCAAATTCATTTAACTCACTTTGCATTGCAATAATCCAATCCGGCTCAAGCAAAGCTTCTTTGACATTTTTTGGCTCAACAAGGGAAACAAAAGCATGAAAGGCACAAAGTGATTTGAGGTTTGATCTGGTTTGAACTCCAGCATTTGGGTCAGAAATGATTGTATCAATAGGATGAGATGAAGCATGCTTAAACTTCCTACGCATTAGTAAGGGAGAGGATGTTTGTTCGTGCAGTACAGTTTCAAGGCCTTGAGATGAAGTTTGACTTGTTTCTGGTTCAGATTCAAGGTCTTGAGATGTGGTTTCAAGGCTTTGAGATGGAGAAGCAGGTGTCTGATTTAGTTCGTCTGTAGTTTGCATAGGTTCTTGAATATTTCTTGTAGGATTCCTAGGAATTTCAGAAGAACCATCATCACTATCATCATCTGTACCTGCTTCTTCACATTTATTCAACTTTAAACCTGTAAAACAATCACTCAAAGTACCATTCTCGGTTTCATCAAAAATTACATGAATACTTTCCTCTACTAATTTAGTACGTTTATTATAAACTCTATAAGCTTTTGAGTTAAGAGCATAACCGAGTAAAATTGCTTCATCACTACGTGCATCAAATTTCCCAAGATTATCTTT